TTCCGAGCAGCCCTCCAAGTCTGGCCTTGCAGGCAGCTGGGGTCATTTCCACAAACTGTCAGAGGAAGCGTGGGAGACGGGAAGGGGCAGGGAGCCTTTGCCGGCATACATGTAAACACCAGGCACACACATGTGTGCTGCACGCCATGCACAGGGCTGCTGGAGAGTGATGCAGATCTGTGTGCCTGGACGGCTTGCAGAGGCTGTCCCTGAGTGCACATGTGTGCACTGCATGGCCGTGTGGGCACACTGTGTGTGGAGCATGTCAGTGGACTGTGTCCCTGGGATTTGTTTCAAGCATGAGGGCAGAGGCTCTGGAGTTCCGTGTGGCTTCCCCAGCAGCACCAGAAGGTCTGCAGAGGGTTGGGGTTGGGGTGGGGTGGCCAGCTCTGGGAGGAAGAGGCAAGGAGTCCTGTGACGCTCACCCGCCCTGGCCTGCGCCCTCCCTCCCTCCAACGTGCCGGCACACAGGACTGCCCCTTTGGATGGAAGGCCCCATGCTCCATGCAGAATGAAGTTTTCCTGACTCATGCCTGGGCTGAAAACAACTTGGCTCCCAGACAGCTGTCAAAATGGACCTGCCCATAGCTGCCCTGCCTCCCTCAGGGAAAAGGCCACTCTAGATTGGCTGTTGGAGGTCTCTGGGCCCCCTTTATCCCATGTAAAAAGAATGGGATTAAACTTTTTCCAACTAATGTTATCTATTTAAAAGTGATACACTGTTGAGGGTGCCCAGAATGGGCAGGTGGCAGCAAAATCCTCCATAAATGTCACTTTTCTCTCCTCTGCTGCTGCTCCCTCCCCATGGATATGACACAAACAGACCTGGTTCCAGTCCTGATTCTGACTCCAATTTGCTGTGTGACTCTTAGTCTCCCTTATCCTATCTCTTCACATTTAAAAAGGGAATATTCAGGGCCGGATATATAGTTCAGTGGTTCCACTGCCTGCCTGGCAAGCACAAGGTCCCAAGTTTGATCCCTGGTAACCCCACAAAAAAAGGGAACATACAACCAGGCTTTGTCAAGCATGCTGAAGGAGACTGAGGCAGAAGAATCATAAATTCAAGTCCAGCTTGAGACACTTAGTGAGATCCCAAAACAAACAAGAACAACAAAAAATACTGGGGATGTAGCTTAGTGCAAAGGCCCAGGGTTTACTCCACAATATCATTTAAAAAAAAAAGAAAGAAAGAAAAACGAAACATTCCTAGCCACAGAAACATTCCTAGCATGCATAGTGACATGCAGGCCTGTAGTCCCATAGTTACTAGGTAGGTTGAGGCAAGAAGATCAAAAGTTTAAGGCCCATTAGGGCCACTTAGTGAGACCTTCTCAGAATAAAAATAAAAATAAAAAGGGCTGAGAATGTAGCCCTAGCATGTGTGAGACCATGGGTTCAAACTCCAGTACTGCAAAAACAAATAAGTAAAACAGAAACATCCTAGCTTCCCTGGAAGGATCCAGTATGATAATAAATGTGGACAGGCTAGACACTTAAATGACATACAGTTTCTGCCCTAGGATTCCAGAGGGGTAGGAATGCCTGAATCTGGCTGCTGGCCCAAAAGAAGCTGTTTCTGCCACCGCTGGCAGAACTGGGCCTGCCTGCTTCACAGGGCCACAGGGAACAGAGGACTGGGTCCAGGACATAGGATCTGGCCTACCGCAGTCTCTGATTTGCTGTGTGACTTTGGGCAAATTCCTGACCCATGCTGGGCCTCATTTTACCTCTCTGTACAGTGTGGATGCAGTTGGACTTGGCTTTCGAGTATTTCCTGTTGCTCGTAACTCTTGGGACCTTTCCTGCTGTGCTACCAAGTACAGGGTAGTTGGAACACATCTGCAGGCACTGGAAGATCCAGATAAGGAAGGGTTGAAAGTTTTCCACCCCCTTCAAACTGTGTGCTTTTTCCAGAAAGCACAGCTTGGAATGTGGGGGAAGGGCCACAGTCAGCTGCCTGGGCTGGGCTCAGAGCTAAGAATAATGTGGCAAAGGCTCTTGACATTTTTTTGCTGATGCTGGAAATTTAAAGGCACCGGAGCCTTTCTTTCCTTAGGGAGGCCACTCTTGGAGAGCAGTAGACTGAGTCTGCTACTTCCATGGCTTACTCGCTGGCCAGCTACATTTACCAAATGCCTCTTCCGTGCCTGGCCCTGGGCTAGCAGCTGGGAACTCAGGGTGAGGCCACCCTTCCACAGCCTCTAGCGTGCACTGACAATCCTGGGTGATAACACAGAGATAATGCTGCATGATAAGCCATAGTGGGGGTTGAGGGGTGGATCTGGTGAGCTACGCTAGGGGTCTGGTGAGCTGGCAGAGGGTGTTCCAACTCAGCTGCTTTCTCTGGCCTCAGCTTCCTTGTATGGAAGTGGAGGGCATTGGTCCCCTCTATTCTTTACCTTCTAGGATTCTAAAATGAGCCTCCATTTACCTCTCTGCAAAACAGTAAAATCATAGTCTCTCAGCTTCCACTTCAAAAGTTGGTGAGGCCTTAAAGAGCTGAGAGATCTCACAGTGCAGAGAAAGGGAGGTCCTTATGGGGTTTTGGCATATGAACCTGCTGGAAAGCAAGGTAAACCTCTCCTGCACTCCCCCAGCTCTGATGGGTCCTCTGTTCCTGCTTGGGCCCTCAGCTCACTGCCCACTAAGATGTAAGGAGCTTGAGGGCTAAGGTAGGATGGGGGTAAGAGTGGGATCTGGCCCAGGACTCGGGCAGTGTCCTTACATTGCAAGGGTTTGTCTTTAAAAGCAGTACACAAGCTGAGGGTAGTGGCACATGCCTGTAATCCCAGAATTTAGGGAGGCTGAGATAGCAGGATTGCAAATTTGAGTATCCTGGGCAATTTAAGGAGACTGTCTCAAAATAAGATATTTTTTTTATTGGTACATTTTAGGTATACAATTCGTTTACATTTATCATTGGGTGCTTGTACCTGTACATGATGTATCTTGGTTCTTATTTTTTCCCCATTACCTGTGCACCCTTCATCCCCTCCACCCTTCCCTATTTACATAGATTTCATTTCCATTTTTTTTTCTTTTCTCATAGTTTTTCCTTTCCCTCTTTTCCTTTCCCCTTCCCTTCTCTTCACTCTTTCATCTTTGGACCTTTTTTCCTATTTCAAATTATCTCAAAATAAGATATTGAAAGGTAGAAAAAAAAAAAGAAAGGTAGAAAAGGCTGGGGATGTAGTTCAGTGGTAGAACACCCCATGCCCCATTTGATCCCAGTAACACACACTAGCAATATACAACTGAGGTTGTTGAAGCATACAACAGCCAGGACAACCACCCCAAAGACATGGACACCACCCCCAGGCAGGAAGCTTTGCTAATGATCAGATGTGTCTTCCAAAAGACCATTGTGCTGCTTCTGAAAACAGTATGGTCCCTGTTCTAAGAGGTGCCCAGGTTGTTACCTCTTGGGGATTCTGCAGAGACTTCTGTGTGGCTACAGACAGGAGTCCATGATCCCTGAGATACCTTGTAGCTCAAAGGTTTTGATACTTCCACTCCAAGGTTCTGTGACTGAGATTCTAACAGGCTAAGGTTCCTTAGCAGGATTCAAAGAAAGATTCTATGAAGCTTTGGTAGGTCATCATATTCTCCGATGGTCACTTTAGGATCTAAATACTCTCTCATTCTTTGACCCTAATTCAGAGTCTGAAGCTTCTGGGATCTAAGATTTCCCAGAGTCCTTGTCATTAGGAGTTTGAGTAGTGGCGGACTGAGAAGTTAGTCACCAGGCTGGGGTAGTGGAATTCCCACCCTTGCAAATGACTGAGGCCGGGACCCAGAGGATTCATTTGCTGGGTGCTGGGATTGATTTGCTCCCCGGGATCCAGACATGCTTATCAGTTTGCTGATTGGAAGAATAATGAATGAAGAGTCTCTCCACCCTGTCCTCTTCTCTCCACACTATGCCCATCTGTTATTGATCATTTCACTGTTACAGAAGATTGGAGGAGTATCCTAAACAATCTGCCTTCCTGAGTTCTCTATTAATATGCGTAAGTCGCTCAGAGTAGACTTCCCTGGGGGTAGGGACTTGTCCGGAGCTCAGCTGTATCCTCAGCCCCTAGAACAATAATGAAAATGCCAGATGAGCTCAGACCTCAAGGGGCTATCAGCTGTGGGAGGGTGGAGTGGGAGAGGACTGAGACGGACTGGGCAGGGATGACCAATTTGAAGCAGAGAGAGAAAGGAAGAGGGAAACTGGGGAAAGAATCAAGGAATGACTGCTCACCACCTTTCACAGTCAAGGGCACTGAGGCCCAGAAAATGAAGGTAGCTTGCTTGGGGTCACAGAACATAGCACTCAGTGGACAGCCAAGGTCTCCTTCCTGTGCACCTCTCCATGGCCAGCCCCTACCACCTGACACTCCCCAGGTGTCCCTGCATATAACACACCAAGACAGGTGTGAGGGGCAGGTACCCGGTCCGGTCCAACCTCTCTCCTCCTCAGGGTCATCACTGGTCAAGTTCAACCAAGGTTGAAGTTTTTAGGGTGAAACCCTTGGCCCAGCTCCCATCCCAGACTGGGGAAAAGCCTTGACTCCTAAATCTGCCACCTCCCCTGAATGAAGGAGAAGGACGGAGGAGGAGGTAATGTGAATGCCCGGGGCGGGGGTGGGGGGGATCTCCACTGGGCAGAGTAAGGAAAGGGGTGCTAGAAGAAATGTGCCATCCAGAATGGGTTGGCTTGTGTGGAGATGGGGGTGGGTACTGGACATAGGAACACAGTGTCCCCTCCAGCGCAATGGTCTTAATCCCCTTCCTGCCACCTCCAGGACAGCCGGGGTCCCAAGTCTCCATTGAAACAAAAGATGCCCGCGCACCCTTGGAAGGACTGGCTGGTCGCCTTCAGGGACCCTGGTGCGCCGCAGCCTAGCCCTTTGATGGGGCAGTAGGACCCAGGGGCGGGAGAATGCTCACAGAGAGGGGCGGGAGCCGGGGCGGGGCGGTTTGGGGGAGGTTCTCCTCTCTTTTTTTTCCCCCTGAGCTAGGCGCCCTCCGGAAGCGTTTCCAACTTTCCAGAAGTTTCTTGGGACGGGCAGGAGTGGGTGAGGAGGTCCATATATAGCTCCTGAGCGCGGGGCAGCGGACGGAGAGTAGAATCTGTCCGCAGCTTCACAGCGTGTCCTGCACCCTGGTCCAGGTGAGGAGCCGGGGCGGCCTGGGGGCGGCTGGGGAGGGAGCCGGGCAGATGACCCCGGGAGGGGTTGGCACCCACAAACGGGAGTTCTTGGCTCTTAGGGGCAGCTGAGGGGTTTAGAATCGGGGCGCTGGATGGTGATGGAACCTGAGGACTGGGGCAGACGACAGCAGGTCCTGTGGATCCTGTGCAATGGATGGGCTGGAGAAAGTGCTGAGCCCCTAAAAGTTCAGGAAAAGGCTGGTGGTGGCAGAGAAGAGACAGTGGGCCAGGGCCAGGGCGAGGGCCCTGAGAGGACCCTTTGCAGGATGGAGGGAGGAGATGGATTCCTGCCCCTTCTGCAGGGCTGGGGCCAGCCAGCTTTGCAGTCGGGACCTGGAGGCCCAGAGTCTTGAAGGCTTGTTTGGTCCCCATGCCGGGGAGGAGTCCCCACTGGTGGGCCCATTTCTGATCAGTGTGTGGCAGCTGAAGGAAGGGCTTGAGCAGCGCCATTCTCCCTGTGAAGGGTCTGCAGCCCTGAGAGGGGGAGGGACGGACCGGAGAGATTTGCGTCAGCTCCTGTTCTGCCCGCCCACCTGGTTCCTGAGGAACCGCAGGGTTAGGCTTTCCTGCCCCCGGCGCGGGGACATTCCTGAGACGCCGGGGGAGGAGAACTAGAGCACTTATAGCCCGCCCTGAAGACCGGCCCCTCCTACTTCCCGGTTTCCTGCTGGTCTTTCTGGGCTGCGGGGCCCAGATGGAGACCTGGGGAAATTGGGGGCTTTAGCTGCCTGGAAGTTTGACTGGGGCCACACCCTCCCGTTTTCAGATGGTTCCAGTACCCATCCCCCCTTCCTTCCCTTCTTTTGTCTCCGGTCACCGGGATTCCTGGCAGAGATTTGTGTGTGTGTGTGTGTGTGTGTGTGTGTGTGTGTGTGTGTGTGTGTCCTGGCTGTGTAACAGGACACCACATGCAGCCCTCTGGAGGGCTCTCAGTTCTGAGAGGAAGAGCTCTGCTCTAGGAAGCCTGACCCCTGCTTGTCCCTGTGGGACTGGGGTGACTTTTGCCTGGGGCTCGGTTTCTCCCACTGGACCAACCACAAGGCACTGGACCTCCAATGTCCTGGTTTGGGGCTGGGCCTAGCAAGCTCCTGCTCCCCACCTTCTCTGTGGTGGTCCCATCCTCCTCACTCTTCTGTTTTCTTTCAGAATGAAAAAGGCAGGCATTGACTACTCTCTGAGGCAGTTTCAAGGTACTTTAGACCCTTCCAGTGTTGGAGACCCTGTGGTGGTTCCAGCATCATCTCCCTTCCTCCTAATCCTAGCTCACTCCAGCCAGCTGTGGGCACAGCCCTCAGCTAATGATCTCTTGTTTTTCCTCCCTGGGGCTGTAGATTATCTAACCTTAGCCTTAGGGATGGCATTTCCCCATGGCAAGATGGGCTGGGCTGTGGGAGGCCGATGACTTGCAGTGACTTGCCTTTCCTAATTCCTGCTTCGGGTTTAACTGGGCCTTGCCTCTCCCTTCAGAGACTGAACCATGGATGCAAAACAGGCCAGGGAGGTTCCTGGAGTCCCCAGAATATCTGTGGCACCCCTAGGACCTGAGTCCAAGCCTCATACCTCCCAGGTTGGGAGCCCCCCTCTGCTGGCCTACAAAGATAATTCAGCCTCCTGCCTGCCACGTCACCATCTCTGGGAGCAGGAGCTGTGTGGCTGCCTGAGAAACCCAAACTACTCATTTGGAGCCTTTTTGAGAAGCCCCTCCCAGCCTTTGAGGTTCTGGTTGGCTGGGGGCAGGGGCTGTCAAGATGGTGGCTGCCACGTGGCAGCCTGGCTCCTTCCCTGCCTCCTAAGGAAGGCCATGCCGGTAGCTTCTGTAGCCTGCCTGAGCTCTACCATTGGCTATCTGGATTAGCCATTGGCCTGAGAGAATGGTGGCCATGTGCTTGGCATCATTGTTAGTGTTAGTCTCAAGTGTTCTTTGCACAATAAATGGTGTGGTCACTTTGCCTATGAGGTTGGAGGCCTGGTGGAGAAGGAGCCTGGGGTTTAGTCTGGGCCTCAGGAACCCGTCTCCTTGAACCCTTTGCTTCTCCTCTGCACTGCACTTTCAAGGTCCCGGCAGTGCAGGGAGGTGAAAGACCTACCTGGGTTTATAGGATGCCAGCTGTAGAATCTTCCCAGGAGTCAGTGCTCTCCCCTAGCAGGCCAGAGTCCCCAGGGTTTTCTACCAGGATTTTGAATTTTCAGTTTTTCTTGGGAAGAGGAGGGTCATGAAATTTGATCTGCCAGAGCAGTAGAGTCTTGGTCTCCACCAGGATTCTTCCTGACTCTTCTGCCCTGTCCTCTCCTCTCCTGTCCAGCTGCATGAAGAAGAGGGGGAGAGGAGTTGAAGGGTGTGTGTGTGTGTGTGTGTGTGTGTGTGTGTGTGTGTGTAAGTACTCTGTGAACAGAGACCATCCTGATTGGAGGCCCCAGAGAAGGGAGTAGGGCTTTGTCTTAGAGACCCTGGTACTGCTGGGGTTTGGAGAGGGGGTCTGGGGGCAACCTTGAGACCATAGAGCAGATGGCCTATGTGGCAGTGGGTGTGAGATGGGAGGACAGAGTGGGCTCCAACTTCCTGGAAGGATGAACACACATCTGATCAGCCTGTGGTGATGGGGGAGGGATCACTGCTCTGTTGAGCTGTGACTCATCTCCCTCCCCAGGATCCTGTCCCTGCTGCTCTCTCAGGAAGCTCCCCTCCCCGCCTCATTTCCAAGGAGTTGGTCCCAGGAGTCATTTTGGGATTTCCCTTTGTGTTCAGGGGCTGTGTGCAAATGTACAAGCCAAATCCTTGGGCCTGGAGACCTAGACCCTTGCAGCTTGCAAAAGGAAGACTGAGGCTCAGTGGACAGACGCACACATACACACACACACACACACACACACACTCTCACTCAAGATCACCCTAGGGCCAGTGGAGTGAGGCCTCAGAACTCTCCCAGTTAGTGAGTGACTTATTAACATCCCAGAGCTGAATGAAAGGTGTGTGTTGGGGGGCCGGGCAGCACTGGCTGACAGCCCTGTCCCACGTGACATCCTTTGCTTGAGCACCTGCGCTTCCTGCAGACAGCAGCCCAGCTGCTGGTTTTTCTCACTGGAGAAAGGCCCCGAGACTTGTGTGAGATCAGAGCTGAACTCTGAATAACTGAGGGCACCCCTGGCCTGGCCAAGTGGCCCTGTTTTATCTTCACTCAGCAATAGCTGGGCCCTGTCTTGTCTAGGCACTGGGGATATAGGCAACCAAATTGGCTAGGTATCCTGTCCTGGAGACCACAGCCTACTTAAAGGCAAAATAGATTTATAATAAACACCCAAGTAAGTGTAAGTGTTGGGTGTGCACTGCAGGAAATCAGGGTAGTCTGGTGGCGACCTGCTGAGAACCCTGCTTTAGTTAGAGAGGTCAAAAAAGGCCTTGGGAAGACTGGGTAGTCCTGAGTTAGGCCTGGGTTTCCAGAACTCGGTGCTCTTACACCGATCTTCAGGGGACTTGGTGGTACCCAGAAGGCTGGGGTTGGTGGCCGGGGAGGAAGGCATAGGGCTTCAGGGCTACCTTCTCTGTGCACCCTTATAGGTCCCCCGTGGTGCATACAGCCCACCTCCCAGCCATGCGCTGCCTCCTGCTACTTGGTACCTTCAGCCTCCTGGCGGTGGCCCTGGCAGCTGAGGTGAAGAAACCTGCAGCAGCGGCAGCTCCTGGCACTGCAGAGAAGCTGAGCTCCAAGGCAGCCACACTGGCCGAGCGCAGTGCCGGCCTGGCCTTCAGCCTGTACCAGGCCATGGCCAAGGACCAGGCAGTAGAAAATATCTTGCTGTCGCCCGTGGTGGTGGCCTCATCCCTGGGGTTGGTGTCACTGGGCGGCAAGGCAGCCACTGCATCACAGGCCAAAGCGGTGCTGAGCGCTGAGCAGCTGCGTGACGAGGAGGTGCATGCAGGCCTGGGTGAGCTGCTGCGGTCGCTCAGCAACTCCACGGCACGCAACGTGACCTGGAAACTAGGCAGCCGCCTGTATGGCCCCAGCTCAGTGAGCTTTGCTGACGACTTTGTGCGCAGCAGCAAGCAGCACTACAACTGTGAGCACTCCAAGATCAACTTCCGAGACAAGCGCACTGCACTGCAGTCCATCAATGAGTGGGCCGCGCAGACCACCGACGGCAAGCTGCCCGAGGTCACCAAGGATGTGGAGCGCACTGATGGTGCCCTGCTTGTCAACGCCATGTTCTTTAAGCGTGAGTCCAAGACAGGGCAGGGAGGATGGGGAGGTCCTCCTCTCAGGAGCCCCTGAACAAGCCTTTCTCATACCGAACGCTTCACTGTATTTCTTAAATACTCACGACAGCCCTCAGAGGCAGGACTGTAACCAAACCCTTTGTACACCCTAGAAGGTAGGTACAGAGAGACAGCCAGGTGTCTAAAGGAATGGAACAGGTATCCAGCCCTCTGAGGGACTGCAGAAGATGTGCTCCTACCTGCTGTATTTCATCAAAACAGTGCTATTGCTTGTGTGTGTTGGAATCGATAAAATTCAGTAGTCGGTTCTGCCTCAGCATTGAGCTGGGGAAAGACTCCTGTTCCTTAAAGCAACTCCAGGGGCAGGTACTCTTACTCCCTAACTCTTACTCCCTATTTCATGGGTAAGGAAACTGAAGCCCAGCCAGGGCGTAGCAGACTCAGGCTGAGTGCATCAGTATTGAACTGAAGATTAGATTTGGAGTGGGTGGATACGTGAGGACTCATGTGGCTGGTACTGTTCTCACAGTTCCTGTGAGGATGAGGTAACCTGTTGTACAAATGTGGCTAAACTAGGATAGAGGAGAAGGTCTGACAGCCAGTCAGTAGCTGAGCCTGAATATGAGCGAAGGTCTGATTGTAACTAAACACAGGGCTCAGGCTACTGCCACACATACATTGTTTTTGGTCATCTTTGTGGCCACAGAAACAGAACTTGCAGACAAGAATTAAAGGTAATCATAGGGAGCTCCTTGCCCAGGGAACACATCCCCCTCACTTACCAGGAGGGGTAGAAAGCCCAGCTCAGCACATTTTCCTAACGCATGACTTGTACTACCCAGGTAGTAGACATACAGGTGGCTGAGCTGAGGGTCATGTGGGCAGCTGGGCAGTGGCTAGAGAGAACTGCACCCTCAGACAGCATGTCCTCAGGCTTGGCCCCCTCACCCCAGCAGGGAACATGTGTTCTGAGGGCAGGGTTCTTGGGGGTGATGCTTGCAGCCTGACCCCAGAGAATGGCGCTAAGGCCATGAGTCCAGAGCGTGCGGTTAGAGTGCTTGTGGGCTGTGATCATATCTGGGGACATGAATCTGACCCGGCACTTTGTCCTCGTACAGCACACTGGGATGAGAAGTTCCACCACAAGATGGTGGACAACCGAGGCTTCATGGTGACTCGTTCCTATACTGTGGGAGTTACGATGATGCATCGGACAGGTAGGTGCCTTGCAGAGCAGGAAACCAAGGTGGGGTTCCGATATCCTTGGGGTCTGGCCTGCCCCCCACCCCGCTGTTTACCCAGCGTCCTCTGCTCTCTGCCCAAGGCCTCTACAACTACTATGACGATGAGAAGGAGAAGGTGCAGATCCTGGAGATGCCCCTGGCCCACAAGCTCTCCAGCCTCATCATCCTCATGCCCCACCACGTGGAGCCACTCGAGCGTCTTGAGAAGCTGCTGACAAAGGAGCAGCTGAAGGCCTGGACGGGGAAGCTGCAGAAGAAGGCTGTCGCCATCTCCCTGCCCAAGGGAGTGGTGGAGGTGACCCACGACCTGCAGGTGAGGCTGGAGGAGAGGGGCTTGGGCACTTCTCTCTGCTGGGCTCTGCTGGGGGGACACTGGAGAACAAGTGTGGACCCTACCCTTGGACAGATGGTAACAGCAGCAGCTAAATACAGTTGGACACTTGCTGTGTCACAGGCAGCCTTCTAAGCACTTCATATGTGTTAATTCTCATAATCTTCAAAACAGCTTCATTAGGGAGGTTTATGAACTAGTTGGCAGAGGAGGAAACTGAGACTTAGAAAGGTTAAGTAACCCGTCTAAAGCCTCGCAGCCGGTCTTTGGGACATCTTGCTCTCAAGCCAGCCCTTAGTCACTGCACTATTATTCCCCAGTGATAAGAAGGCTAGTGGCTGGGGGTCACTTAGAATAGCCAGCAGCTTGCCGCACACACTCAAGGGGATCTCCCCCCTCATACCACCCTGGGCGTGAGTAGAGACTCCGAGAGAAGTGACTCCCTAAGGCCCCCTGGCTCATAAGCCCCCTCCTCTTACTCAGGAGAAAAATGTCATCTCATTCTTGCTTTGGCTGCCAGAAATGGTTCCCTGACAGTCCTCTCACCCACGGAGTTATTCAGCCTTCTGAGGGAACTGCAGATGAAGTGGTGCTTGGGCTCCAAACCAGAGGCCAGTAGAGCTTGTAGAGGTCCGAATTAGATATTGAGTTTCCAGAGAGGGCTCCTCACTGTCTCCCAACTGGGACTGGCCCAGGTTCTCCCCCAGCCTTTTTGTCAGTGGCCATTGTCCACCTCCTTTCTGTCCTTATTTCTCCTTTGTCTTCCTGGACTCTCAGTAGATGTAGCATGTACCAGACTGTGAGGTAGATGGAGCTGGGAAATTTGAGGTGAGCGACTTGCACAGTCATTAGGACTGGAATAGCTGGGCCTGCCTAGATATCTGTCCCATGACTCCTCAAGCCTCAGGACGCTAGCCTAGCGCCTGTTTAGCCATGCCAGGGAAGTGCGACTATCTGCAGAAGCCTGGGCCTTGGAGGTGCTGTTGACTTGGCCAGTGGTCCTTTACTGACATCTCTTCCACATGGAGAGTCAGAGTGAGCCCTGGACATGGGCCCCACCCTCCCGGAGCTCCAAGCCAGGTGGGAGGACCAGGCAGGACCAGGCACTGCTTATTTTGAGAGAGAGCAGGTGGTATGCCAGGGCTGAGGCCAGAGGCTGTGACACAGGCATGGGTCACATATTAAAAAGCTGTATCTTATACCCACCACAGAGCCCTCTTCCCCCATTATAACTTTTTACTGTGGAACGTATGATGGATGTATTAAAAATAGATCAGTGGGCTGGGGATTTAGCTCAGTGGCACCGAACCTGCTTTGCAACCGCAAGGTCCTGAGTTCAATCCCTAGTACCCCCCCCTCAAAAAAAAATCAGTATAACGAACTCTCAGGCATCCATCACCCAGCTTTGCCACGGTCTCCTCATACTCTGCACCACCCATTTCTCCCAGGTTATCTTTCAGCAAGTCGCAGGAATCCTATCACTGTGGACAGGTTTTAAGCCCCAGAGTGAGGTGGACAGAGTTGTCTTTCCATCATTCTTTCTCAAACCTGAGTGTGCTAGGAACCACCTGTGGAGTTGGTTGGAAAGGACCCTGACTCACCCCTGAGCTTGGGGTTCAGTAGGGCTGGGCTGGCGTTGGGGGAAGACTAGGGAAGTCCCTGGTGTGCTGTCTGGCCATGAAGCACACTCAGGGAAGCCCAAGATGGCAGGGCACAGAAGGATGGATTCTGAATTGGTTTTCTGGGTCTCCGTTCATCACCTGTGAAGTGCAAGTAGACGCCCTTGAGGGTGGCAATGAGAATGAGGAAAGCAGTGGTTTGAGATGACCTGCACCATGCCTGGCACACAGTAGGTAGTCAGGGAGTAGCTGAACCTTTGGAGGAGCAGTCAGGGTTGTGAGGGAAAGAGGGCGAGGATGAGTGCGTGGCCTCACCTGACATCTGATTCCACAGAAACACCTGGCTGGGCTGGGCCTGACTGAGGCCATCGACAAGAACAAGGCAGACTTGTCCCGCATGTCAGGCAAGAAGGACCTGTACCTGGCCAGCGTGTTCCATGCCACTGCCTTCGAGTGGGACACAGAGGGCAACCCCTTTGACCAGGACATCTATGGGCGGGAGGAGCTGCGCAGCCCGAAGTTGTTCTACGCCGATCACCCTTTCATCTTCCTGGTTCGAGACACCCAGAGCGGCTCCCTGCTGTTCATTGGGCGCCTGGTACGGCCCAAGGGCGACAAGATGCGAGATGAGTTGTAAGGCGCTGGGGTGTGCAGGGAAGGCAGAAGGCAGCCCGCAGGCTCTTGAGACACATGGGTGCTACTGGGAAAGGGTGCCAGCCTTGGATATTCTACGGGGTGGGGGTGGAAAAATGACCAGGGTTCCCATGTGTCCCAGTGGACTTGCCCAGCTAGAATCCATTCTGCACGGACGTGGGTCCGCAGAAACCATGACGCTGAGCCCAGAGAAGCCACATGCTGTGGGAGCTGGGTGTCTCATCCTGCCCTGTCTTCAGAGGCCTAGATCCAGCCTCCCTCAGCCAGCCAGTCAGTGTTCCTATTTATAGCCAGGTGCTTTTGAATCTGTGAGACAATTGAGCTGAGGCTTCAGCCCAGCCATCTTCTCCTGACAACCACCATCACCACCTCAGCCCCTCCCTGGCTCCCCAGAACTCCCCCAACTTCCCTCAAAATAAACTAGGTGCTGTAGCCCCTGGGACCAGGCACCCCCAGAATGGCCTTAGTCCCAGTAATGGGGATGGGATAAGAGCTCAAAGGAGAGGCTCCTGGGCAGACCCTGGTTAAGAATCCTTACATGGGGCATTGTGGGGATGAACATTTTGTTTTCCTTTTTTTAGTTTTTCAAAGATGGGAAGGGAAGGGGGAACATGAGCCTTTGTTGCTGTCAAAATGAGAACTTATTTGTACAATTGTTTTTTCAATAAAACTTTTCCAAGGAAATTTTGTTGGAGCATGAAGAAGATTGGATCAGGAGATACCCACGTCATTTGTCCCAGGGGACAAAGTCTCTTCTTCAGTTTAATAGCCCACATGAGGCCCTGTAATGCTGGCAGATTAACTGCAGACAGTGGAGGAGGGCTGGCCCCGGATGTGCTCCCTGGGATCACATAGCTCTGGTAGCCCCAAGTGTCAGGGCTGGCCCCATAGTCTGGGTATCTTGCTCCTGCTGTGCAGGGTCCTGGTCTTTACCCTCTAGGCTTTCACTGTCGTCTGACCTTTTCCCATAGGTTACAAACTCAGTCTCTTGTTAGCATGTTGCCTGCCTTTGGGCTTTGGAGACAAGCTTGTGGGATCCTTGCTCTCAGAAGGACCCATGTATGGTGTTTGTGGCAGGGGAGGAGGAGGAGTCCAACACTCCCTTTAGGTATCATCTTCATCCTTAAAGCTCCTGAGACCATTTTTCAGGGAGGTAGAGGGATGCATAGGACAGGAGACCTGTGCCAGGGAGTCAGAGAAAACTAGATTTGAGCCCATCTCTGCCTCCTGCAGGCTGTGTGACCTTGGGCAGTTCACTCCCTCTCTCTGGCCACTTCTCCATTTTCCCTTAGTTAACAGCTTTGCCCTAGAGGTCATTGATCTAGGGAAGGACTCGTTATCTTGGAGTCCCCCAAGATAATGGATGGGGCTGCATAAGGGCCAGCTGATTCCCATTTTCACCACATGGAGTTTTACTAAGACTGGTCAGGAGTCTGTTCTGTGCTGTGAACTCAATAAATTAGATCTCTGCTCTTAAGGGGCTTTATCTAGAGGTAGAGTGGTAAGTATGGTCAGGACTCAGTGTTCCAGTTGGCTGGATCACCCTGTTCTCATGCAAGCAGTGCTTGCTCCTCTGCCTCAGGTTCTTTGCATGAGCTGCTCTTTCAACCAGACCAGCAGCTTAGCCTGACCACTCAACATAACAAGCCCCTCTCCCACTTCACCTTCTCATTTTCCTTACTTTTCAGCCCTGTGACAGTATCTGCTCCACTTACTGTATGCCTTCCCTGTCTGCCCCATGAAAATGAATGCAATGTGAGAAAAGGGACCATGACAGTCCATTGTTTTCTGTCCTTCAGCTAGATTCAGCATCATACATGTACAGTGCACTGGAACATTTGCTGAGTACATGAAAGGGCTGCTGTAGAAGGAAGGGAGCCAGGTTTCCGGGGTCCAGAGGAGGAAGTGATGGCTCCCAGGAGATGACAGGTGGGGTGTCTTGAAGGGTGAGTGGGCATTTCTTGGTCAGAATAGTGATGTTTTTTTCTTTTTTTTGGAGACAAGGTGTTACCTGTGTAGTTCAGGCTGGCCTTGAACTTTCCTCTTTGAGTGTTAGTCTTTGAACTTTTCCTCTTGAGTGTTAGGAATACAGGAGTGCATCACCATGCCTGGCTTTTAGAATAATGATCTAATAATGAGCCAATATTATTTTTGTGTTTTGCTCTTAATGGGTGTCAGATACTTGGCATTCATCAATTTATCCAAGTCTCCAAGCAGCGTGGCTCAGGAGGGCTTAGCCCTCTTACAGGCGAGATGACTGAGGCTGAGATGCTTGGGGTCCTGAGGCTGAGATGCTTGGGGTCCTCAGGCTGTGTGTGTTGCCGCCTCCACGTTGCGTAGGAAGTGCCGGTCAGGAACGGACTGCGGTCTGATCGGAGAGGCCCACAGCCTGCTTAGAGGCTGAACCCCCACAGGAGCCCAGCGAGGTGGGAAGCCTTCCTTTCTGAAAGTGGATCCGCCTGTGTTGGACAGGCTGGCCTCATAAACTCCTGGGTTCGGATCCTCGGGTGTCCACTGGACCAGACCCGAGCCTCAGGCACCTCTGACATTCAACGTGCAACAGCTCCCCCACCAGGTAGAAAGGGGCAGCAAACGAGCTAGGCCTGGGCGGGGTCGCGATCCTGCGAAGGGAAGCTGAGCCTCGCTCCTCCCTCCCCGCGCAGGTAGAGGTCTTCGCTAGCCCGAGCTCAGCAGGCAGCGGTCGGGTGCTGATGATGGGAGGGCGGCAGTGCAGGTGGCAGAGGGAGCGGGGAAGAGTAGGTGGGGGCCAGATGTTGGTTCGCCAGGAACCGCCGCCCAAGTCTTTCCCGCCGCCTGGAGGCCGTTGGAAGAATTATCTGTTCTTCCCAGCACCGTGCTTGTAAGCTGCAGTAAGCCGCAGAGATGATGTTGGATTGTGAAGGCCCCAGGTGTGGGTGCAAATGGGAGAACTGGGGATTAACCTCCTACTGAGCACCTACTATGTGCTTGGCACTGCCATTATGATCCCATTTAATTGTCAGAGCTTCCCTAAGGAGTAGCTATTACTGTCCCATGTTATAGGGGAGAAATCTGGGGCTCAGAGAGGTAAAATGACCAGCCTGAGGCCATCCAGCTGGCCAGTGACATCCTGGCCCACCCGGCAACTCAAGTCTAGCTGTGGAGGAAGGAGAAGATACTGATATGTGTGAGTTCCCCGCTCCACAGTTTATAGGGGCAGACACCAGTGGATTCTATATCACCTTCACCCCAGTCCCTGCAGCCCAGGATTACTGTCCTCCCTCTGAGACTCCAGCTGTAACCTCTTCAAGGGCAAGCTTGGCTTCTTCTGAGCTACTGCTCTGTCGTGGCATCTGGTATGGTGCACACTGTGTTTTCCCTCTGGGTGCTCTTCGGGACACTCAATCCTGCATATGTCTTGCTGTCCTCTTTCCTCCTTCCCCTCAGTGTGACCTGGGCATGTCTGCTCAGCTCCACCACTCTTGTCTCCAGGGTCTCATCTGTTGGGGGAGCACTGAGCTCCAGCCCTAGGCTGGAGCTTCATTCCTGCAAGATAAGGAAGTGTCTGTGAACGTACAATGCCTGGGCTTAGCAGTGCCCAGCTCTTCTGCTTTCTTTCCCCCAGGTCTGTTCTCCATTTACCCATCTCAGTATAAGTCAGAGACCACACTCAACAGGGGTGGGAGGATAGGAGGAGAGCACTAAGCCACATTAGATGGTTTTTTTGGTTTTTTTTGGTACCGGGGATCAAATGCAGGTCCTTGGGCTTGCGCAGCAGGCGGTGAAACCACTGAGCTAAATCCCCAGCCACATTAGATGGTTTATTAAGGTGTGAGCTTGATGCTGCAGCCACCTTGTCACTTTATCAGTTGACCTCACAGCACCGCTAGTTTTCAGGTGAAATTGAGGGCACTGATCTAAGAGGGATGAGACAGGAGACATGTGGACCTAATGGTGTAGAGCACCCTTAAGCTCTGCTTCGCTGTGCTTCCTTGCAGCAGTAGTCGCTGCTCCTTTGCCTGTGGACATGGCTGCAGCCCAGCCTGAAGACCTTGAAATAACCTTGTTTTGGAAGTTACCCTGCAAAGTGTTCTAGTTGTTTGTTGCTGAGTAATGAGCCACTCCACACTCTGCAGCTTAAAGCCATTTGTTTTTCTTCACAGCTCTGGGGGCCTTGTCTGGGTTTGCTCATTTGAGTGCGTTCACTAGACGCTGAGATAAGCTGGGACAGCTGTGATCCTGGGCCTCTCTGTTCTATGTGGTCCTTCATCCTGGCTTCTTTGGGGGCCAGGGATTTAGCTCAGTGCTTCCACCACCTGCCTTGAAAGTGCAAGGTTCCGAGTTCCATCCCCGGTACCAAAAAAAAAAGCAGCCTGGGGGTTGCAAGGCTCTCCCTTCATCCTGGCTTCTTTGGGCACAGTGGCCTTGCTCCCTGGCCAACTTCCTCCTGGAAGACCTTCCCCTGAGCAAGACACCCAGAAGTACATCAGTGAGGGGGCATCTTTGAAACATGTTGAGTACTTGTTCTCCACAGGCCAGAGATACAGGTGGAAGATGCCGCTATGGAAATGGGCTCCATGATTACAGTGGAAATGATGGGATCCCAGTGTAGCAGCACCTAACTGTGTAGGACTTCAGACCTCAAGTGCTAATACACATAGTCTGTCCTATAGGTATCTGTTATGGCTTATATCTATCTAGATGTCTCCCCAAAGCCTTATGTGCTCATAGGTGGGACTTTTCAGAGATGGCTACATCTAGGGTGTGTGATACTGGGATTAAGGGTATGTAGTAACTAAATGGGTTTAGCATAGTTCTGGGTGTTGATAATGGAAGCCCCACCTTGGGTATGGATGGCACCATCAATAGGTTTATAACCCAGATGGAATATAAAGGAAGAGAGGAAAGGCTGGCTTGCTGCTGCTACTTATGTTTCTCCCTGCCTACCATGCCATGGACTGTTTGTCCTCTGTGATGCCCCTCTGTCATGCTGCCCTGCCTTGGAGTCAACCTATTATGGACTGAAATCTCCACAAACTGTGAGCTGAAATAAACCTTTCCTCCTTTAACTTGTGGGTGTCAGGTATTTTGTTTCAGCAAAGAGAAAAGTAAAAATGACAGTGTCTTTAGAAAAGGCCAAATAAGGAAGTCACCATTGATCTATTAGCATTTGGTAAAGACACCTATGGGACCTAACAGGTGGGCAGGCTTCTAATGTTCCCCTTAATCTCAATTACAGAAGCAAGAAAGCAACAAGCAAACACCCTGTCTTGGGCTTGAGATTTAGCTCAGTGGCACCACGCCTGCCTGCCTCAAAAGTGCAAGGTCCTGAGTTCGATCTCTGGTACCAAAAACAAACAAACACCCTGTCTTGAGCAATCTCAGCTGCTCACCCTGAATTACTAGTATGAAAGAGGGCCAATACCCTTCTGAATGGGCCCTTCAGAAGCACCTCAGATACACACAGTAATTCTTCCTTTTGGCCTTCCACAAGAATGCCACTTTCCAGAGAACTGCATTCTGTGAAAGGACAATGCCTAGATCCTTCAGGGTTAGTGCAGGCTGAATCTATCTAATGATAATTCCCAAGGTCCCAGAATGTCATTCTGTAGAGGCTCAGGTGGTCACGTGATAATTGGAGTTTTTGACCCAAGCCCAGGTGAGCCTAGTGTAACCTTTATGCATAATTATTTTCTTAGTTGCAGAGTATATAATTGGAATTTACAGGCATAATTTACATATAAGCCTCTAGGCCTGTGGAATAAGGGTTATTACAGTTGAAACAACCAAGTGGAACATCCTGGGTCTATCTCTTCTTACCAGAATAATAAATCAAAGAAATGCTCTGACTCTGGGGGAAATCATTGAGATTTGTACCATCATTAAAGACTTGAAGGATGTGTGTTTTTGTCACACCTCATTCAACTCCTCTCTTTGGTATAGTTCTTGGAGAATTATCATCAGCTTCCTCAGATGGTGACTTTAGTCACAGATGTTATTCTAGGTATGGATTTTGGGGGGGGGGGGTTGTTATTTTTTTTGGTACCGGGGATTGAACTTGGGTCCTTGCGCTTGTGCAGCAGGTGGCGGAACCACTGAGCTAAATCCCTGGCCCAGTGTGGTCTTTTTATATGAGCAAATCTACATTTTTTGGTTACTTGTTGTGAAACTATATGACAATTTTCCCCTTTCCTCCTCTGTAGAGGACCCCACATTCAGTTTTCTTCCTCTTTGTGGGAATAGCAGTGCACCTTTCTCATCTTTGTCTTGAAACTCATCATTTCTGGTTCTTTGTTACAATTTAGCCTAAGGGGATTTTGTTTTATCCTCCTATATATCACAGGACAATATGGTTGTTCAGTACATCGATCACATCATGATCTGAGGATTGAGAAAGTAGAAAGTCTTTTAGATGCACCGATGAAACAAATGCACCTGAGAATGGAAAATAAACCTTATAAGAACTCTGCTACCCAAGTGAAGTTTCATGTGTATTTTTTATTTGTTTGTTTGTTTGTTTTTTGGTACCGGGGATCGAACTCAGGTCCTTGTACTTGCAGAGCAAGCAGCGGAACCACTGAGCTAAATCCCCAGCCCGAAGTTTCATGTATTTAGTGATCTGGATCTTGCCATGAAAGACTCTGCAAAGCATAAGACAGCTGGCTGTGCTTTCTGCCCTTACCTGGTCATAAGGAAAAAGGATAATCTTCGGGCTTTTGTTTATTTTGGAGGCAACGTATATCACACTGCTCTGATCATGCTGCTCTGATTTATTTACTGAGTAATTTACTGGATGGCAGTTTTGAGTGGGCCCAGAGCAAGCAAAGGCTTCCAGGTGGTCCACGCATAAGGGCAAGCAGTTCTGCTACACAGCCCCGATGACTCAGGAGACCCAGAGATGACTTAAGGGTCTATAGCCTAAGAGGATGATGTTTGAATCCATGCAAACCCTAAGAAGAGTCACCATGGATTATGTTGGATTTAGGAGCAAAGTTCAGTGTTCTTTGGCAAGCAGTCTTCCTCCTTTTGAGGACAAGCTCTTGGCTCACTGCTGAGCCTAGCTAAGAACAATCCCTTTGTGTGGGACACCACGGGACTATGAAAGTTATTGATGCCTGTTATGCAGTCTGCTTTTTTCTCAGGTATTCTTGGGTGTATGTGCTCAGTGACTAAGTGAAATGTCAGTGACTCATGCATTAGGTATGGAAACACACTTGATCTCTCCCTTTGTGAACAGAGGTGTTCACTTCAATTGGCTCTGTGCTCTCTACTCTGAGGAGTTGGAAATTGCCAAATCATCAGCGATGTCTTTATTGCTAGTTTAGTGGACACTTAAAAGAAAAAAAACCAAAAACGTATTTTAAACCGGATGTGGTGGTATACACCTATACTTCCACTACTTAGGAGGCTAAGGCAAGAGGATCCCAAATTTGAAGATAGCCTGGGTAACTTAATGAAATCCTATCTCAAAAAAAAAAAAAAAATATCTGGAGATGCAGCTTAATGGTAGAGCATTTGCCTAACATATATGAGGCCCTTAGTTTAATCCCCAATGTGCATAAAACAAAAGGAATTATTGTCTCCTAGCATCACCTGCCTACTCCCATCTCATATGAGAATTCCCAGGAACTGGGCATTGTTTAGAATCTCTGGCCCACATGGGTGACTATAGAGCCTATATGTCCACTTCTGAGTGCACGTGGCAGTGATTGTCCATGGCATACACACATACACACCCATGTGACCCTGTCCCCAGAGAGCCAGAGAGAGACACAGCTGAGCCAGAGGGACCAGTTTTATTAGACTCCAGCAAGACTACACAGAACGTGTTTCATGCAGATTAAATATGTGTCTTCACTGCCCCGGGGAGGGGTGCACTTTCACTGACAACTCCTTCAATGGCATGTCCAGAGGTGCATGTCAAGGAGACCCCTCAATATATTCTCCATGAGGGACAGTTGGGATCATGACTGGGGGTGGAGGTGAGACAGTGGGCAGCTGAGGGACCCTGGGACCTTGAGTCTTCAGAGTTTCGGGGACCACAGGACCTTGGACTTTTGCTGGTGCTGGCACCAGAGGATCTTGATCCTTCAGAGGCACCGGGATTATAGGACCTTGATTCTTTGGAGGCTCTGAGACCATGTGACCTTGATTCTTGGTTACTGCTGGAACAATGGGGTCTTGGCTCTTTACAAACTCAGGGACCACAGGACCTTGATTCTTTACAGGTGCTATGACCATGGCACTTTGATCCTTCCAATGCTCTGGGACCATGAGACCTTGATCTTTGTCAGAAGCTGAGACCATGGAAACTTGATCCTTGACAGGTGTCAGGACCACAGAACCTTGATCCTTTGGAAGTGCTGGTGTCACAAAACCTTGATCCTTAAGTCTTCCTGGAACCATAGGACTTTGATTCTTCAGAGGATCTGGGATCAAGGGACTTTGGTCCTTGGCTAGTGCTGATATCACAGATTCTTCATTCTTTAAAGGCTCAGGAACCACATGACCTTTATCCTTGATTGGTACTGGGACCATATGACCTTGATCCTTTGGAGGCTCAGGGACCACAGGACCTTGATCCTTTGGAGGCTCAGGGACCACAGGACCTTGATCCTTTGGATGCCCTGAGACCACAGGACCTTGATCCTTTGGAGGCCATGGGACTACAGGACCTTGATCCTTTGGAGGCCCTAGAACCACAGGACCTTGATCCTTTGGAAGTCCCAGTACTATGGGCCCTTGATCCTTTGGAGCCTCTTGGATCATAGGACTTTGGCCTTTCAGAAGTCCTGAGACCACAGGACCTTTATCCTTGTCTGGCTCTGTGGCTACAGGGCCTTTATTCTTACAGGAATCATCGGTGGGTTGGATGGGGCTCCTGCAAAGGAGAAAGAAGTGGTCACTGTGAGGTCAAGTTCATGCCAGGGATAGGGCAGAGCACAGATTGCCTGCTAAGACTTGGCCTAGTGGAGCCTGGGCAGGGCAGCTCTCCAGCAAGTGGAGAGCCAGGAGGAGAATCTGACTTCTGTGTTAGTACAGAACATAGGGTAGTGTGAAGGGGAGGCTCAGGGTCATTCAATGTGTTTGCCAATTGATTATAACCTGCACGTGGCATGGGGAGCCCCAGGGTGATGATGGCAGTACTGCAGTTGGACTCAGAGTGGTCCAGCAGGCATTCTAGAGATCCATCCAGTTCACACCCCACCCAGGCCCCTACTTCTTCCTCCAGGATTTCTGGGCCCATCTTAGGAGCCCATCCCAGCTATCCACTCAGATGACCCCATAGGCCAAGCTGCCTTGTCTTTTTTCAGGGCCTTCCAAGGCTCCTTTCCCTCCTCGTACCCCATACCCATCGTTAAGGGCTGACTGCTGGGAAGGGCAAGGGGTCCATGGCATACCAAGAAAGGGGACAGTAGGACAGTAGGAATGTCTTTCTTCTCTCCTCCCCTGCAAGTATTTTATCACTGACATGCTTAGAATGATTAGCATATGGTGATAATAAAAACCAGTTCACCTTTTAACTAACTTTGTTCTTGCTTTTAAGTTCTCCATAGATAATGCACCCCATTTTAGCCAATACCACTCCCTCTGACCCCTACTGGTGGTAGGCAGCTGGCTGGGACTTCTCATTCAGGCAGTGACAAGGCCCCAGTCTTTTCCCTCCATCCCCACTTCCATTCCTTCCGCTGCCCTCAGACCTTCTCTCTCATGTCTTCATAGCTCCTGGGCTTATTTCCCTGTAGCCAAGAGCCCAGACCTCTTACCAGAGTCACCACAGGTGGCTCTGTGTGCCTCACTGCAGCCATCAACCCCATCCCCCAGCCCATCCACACTGTGGAGGGCATGTGACAAACACTGATGCCCAAGGGCAAACACTGCCACAGAGCCAGACCTAGACAGTCTGGCATGTTCCAGGTTAGTGCGCACTCCTGCCTCATGGGCTAGATTGAAAGTTGCCACTCAAGAATGGCATGCTTAGCCAGTGCCACCAACCCTTGTGAATCTAGGCACAGTCTGCCTCCAAATCGCTTCTCTTCCTACCTCATCTCAGCAACACAGCAGCCCTGTTGAAACACACAGGAAGGATTTTATTACATTTGTTAAATGAGAAACTGAGGTCCAGAGAGGGCAAGTGATGAGGAAAGTGAAGAGACTCACAGGGACGAGAGTCTGGGGACCACGCAGTCACCCCTATAGTGCCTGGCGCATAGCAAGTGCTCAGTATGACATAGTTCTTACTACTCTTGCATTTCAAGATGACAGTCTGGATATTGTGAGCTGTATTAGTATTTTACCAGCTCCTCTCAGGTTTTTAGAGGACTGTGTCTAACTAGCTTCTTAAAGCTGCTCCAATGAGGCTTCTACCAGATAACACTTTCTTAGAGCATTACATTTTAATTTCTCTGGGCCTGAAACTTGTCATCTTTTCATTAGGTGTAGTGATATTTACTCAGAATTTTATGATGCTTAGAGGGCAGGTACACAGCACACTTTGTATCCTGGTAGGATTAGGCAGTATTACAATTATCTTTCTATTTACTTAGAAGTAAAATTACACAAATTTGGATTATCTTTATTCACCATATCATCCCAATCTGAAGCTTTTTTACTCTACTTGGTATCTCGAGCCACCCAGGGACTCAGCAGCAGAGTACACAACGGCGCATGTGTTCTGACTGCCCAGTCCCAGGCAAGACCACGAGAAGCATGCAGAATCCAAAGAGCACACTGAAATGCCTCCTGTCATTGGTGGCTGGCCAGAGGGAAACAGTAAGAACTGAATTTTGAGTATAATCAAGTAGGAAAGCAATGAGATGTACCCTCTCAGCTTGTGAAGTGAGCTAGGTAGGGCACCTTGGGGGACTGACGAAGCCTGGAGGGAAAAAGAGGTGACCAGGACTGAACCTGCTCACAGGGGATTGGGCTGCAGAAGCTGCCCCTTGGCAGGTCATTAGTCAACAAGGGCAGCCCTATGTCCTGGCAGGAAACATGTTTCCCTGGATGTTTGCAGTATTGGCTCTCACACCATGCCCCAAATTTCTGTTTAATGAACACTCTCAATCAGATATGAGCTAAGGCCAAATTTGCATGGATAAATAACATCATATAGCTTTGGTTAGTAAACTTTTTTCCCTTAGTAGGCATCTTTAATCATAAGAAAATTTAAACAAAGATTTAAATTAATTAAGAATTAAGATTAGAAATAAGTTAATCAAACCCCAATATTAACTTTTTTGGTACTAACTTTAGGAAAAATCTGCTTGGACTTAGATTGAAAGTATCTGTAATGCTTTAGATAATTTGGTATATTAGACTATCTAACAGATTAGCTGTGTGATTCCATTAGAAAATGTATAATGGAATAATTAGATTTGGAACTTAGTTTTTTCTTATGTATTTTTTTCTTTTATAAAAATGTTTGCAAATACAATCAGAATATCAAATGATTAAGCTAAATCCCTCAGTAGGCCAGGTGTAGTGGTACACACCTGTAGTTCTGTATCCACAGTGCCCCACCCCTGGCCTTCACAGCTGCCCCTTACATCAGTTGTCCACTGGTTTTCAGCTGCCTCTAGCCTGGGCTCTTTGAGCACAAGGATTATGTCCACATTTTCTCTTTTTTTCCCTTTCTCCCTTTCTTTTTTCCTTGTCACTCTCTTGTTTCCTTCCTTCCACAAACATTTAATATATGTCTCGTGTGTGCCAGGCCATTGAATAAAACAGAGAACCAAAGAGCTCCAGCATATGGCTGGCACATAATAGGAGTTGACATCATAATGAAGAGTCTAAAAAATAATTCATACAAGACCAAATTCTAGCAACCATGCTTACACAACGCACATATTTCCTTAACTGCCTTAGCAACATTTTTGTTCTATATTAAGCCATCTCTTTAAAGTCATTTTTTGGTCCACCTAGATTATAACATCTCTTTAAGAGGACTATACATACAATAAACCATTGGTTCTCACAACAAATTGGCCCTGTAGACAGGGATTATTCTCATTTCCATTTTTTAGAAGTGGTAGCCAGGCTCAGAAAGGGGACATATCTTGCCTAAGGTCATATAAAGTGGGTGCGGCAGTGTCAGGACCTTAACTGATGTATTTGTTCCTCTGTACAGAGATACCACATTTTGGGTTCAGCTTGAGCTGACCCTAACCAGTTCTGGCTGCAGCCAATGACTTCTCTGGATCTCAGCTCAGAACCCCCAGTTACATCTCTCATCAACTTGTCCCTCTGGGACCCCCCCAACAACTGCCTAGCCAATCCTCCTCACCTTAGCCTTTGTAAATCTACTGCACAAGGCCCCCACGTTTATCTACTGGCACTCAAAAGACCCTGGAAAAAAGAGCACAGAAAACAGTGGCTTCTTGGCCCAAAAGTGCCATCCCCACTCACACTGGCAAGCCCTACCAGGTGTGGCTTGTCACCTTGGGACCAGTACTGGGACCACAGAGAGGAAAATGCTGTCACCACAAGGCTTAATTGGGGGGGGGGGGGAGTGGTGAACCATGCTGATCAAACTCAGCATGTGAGGCCTTCATGTGACTCATTTTCCATACAATATTTAAAGTCGCCAGTGAGGGACAGAACATGGAGTCTGAATGTTTCTAATAGGAATCCTAGCATGGCCCAGGACTAAACAAAGAATGGGTTTTAGCATTACTCAAACATGGCTTCAAATCCTAACTCACCAGCAAGTTGTATGACCTTCTCAGTTAACCACTGAATTTTGATTTCTTATTGTTTTGTTTTTTTTTTTTGGTATGGGGGAATCAAACTCGGGTCCTTGAGCTTGCAAGGCAGGTGGCGGAACCACTGAGCTAAATCCCCGGCCCTGAATTTTGATTTCTTTATCTGCACAGGGCATGACACCTCCAGACTCTAACCTTATTGTGAGGAGGAAATGAGACTAAGTGTAAAAAGGCCAGATAAATATATGTTCTTTCCCTTCCCATAAGCTGGCCAACTCTGTATTAGATAAAAGCCGACGCAGAGACCTGGGACAAATTCCTAGTTCCCCCCCTCTCCACCACTCTGGGTCCTCTCTAGGTGCAGATGGCCTTCTGGAATTCTGGGAAGGGTTTGCACAAGGTGGGGGGGGGCTATGTTTCTGCCCTGCTATTCATTTACTTATTATTTTACTTTTGTTGAATATCTTCTAGATTTGACCTGATAATAAAAACTAGATAAATTCCCAGTTGTATAAGAAATATTGTAAAAAGCATCCTTCATTGTGTTAACACCAAAAAGACAAAGCCAAAAGCAAGATTGATTGTCTCAAGAGGCTGCCAGGAATCTGATAATCCTGCTAATGACCCTTTTAAAAATGTAAAGTGCAGGACTAAGGCCGCCAGACAGAAACAGCTCAGTTCTAGTCTAACTCTGTGCTCCTGGGAACTTAAAAATCAATTTTTGTCCTCCCCCACACCTCCTCTTAAAGGATGGAATCTTGAGCAATTAATCAAAATTGTTTTCATGTGTCCAGAGGGGATCAACTCAAATGGACGTGTAATTGCAGAAATGGTATCTATACCAGGTGATTTATAGGGTGTGCTCAGAGAAGAAGAATGGGATGAGGAACTGGGGGAGAGGAGGAGGTAGCAAGAGCCATTTTGGATGCTCTTAATGCCAGCCCCTGGTGTGGCAGAGGGAGTGGATTTCCCTGTATAGCTCCAGCTACTGCACTGGGACCAGGGAGGCAAATAACTGGGATGTGGTGTTCAGCAGACAACTCATGAATTAAACTGTTGCCAAGGGTGTTCCATTTTCCAGTTCACCGAGGACTTTTTTTTTTTTTTGGTACCCGGGATCAAACTCAAGTCCTTGCGCTTTCGAGGTAGGTGGTGGAACCACTGAGCTAAATCCCCAGCC